ACGTATCGAGATCGGTGAGCAACGACTTCCAAAAGCCCAGCCCGAGGAAGCACGTATCGAGATCGGTGAGCAACAACTTTAGGTCACCGGGCCGCTTGCGAGAAGAACGAGCGCCACCCAGGTTTTCCGACGACCTGCTGCATAACGGAAAGCGCGGCGGGAGCCACCCCACCGGCCGGTACCACTCCGAACGACCCGCCGGGGTGGACCCGAGCAGCGAAAGCACGCCCTCGTGCTGCTCCGACACCACCGCCACCTCCGGCTGCGCGTCTACCGATCCCGACTACTGGTTCCCCCGCGACCCGGAGGAGGTCATCCTGAACGAGACCGAGATCGAGACCGCCTGGCTCGTCGAGGAGAGCCTGTACTGCAACCGGACGTCGGTCATCGACTGGGACTTTGTCATGATCTACGCTTCCCCGGCGCTGAGGGTGGTCCTCCAGCGATCGACCTTCCACGACGACCGGTCTTTCCTGGGGACGGTCCTGCGGAGCGAGTGGTCGGCGCGGAGGTTCGAGGTGGTCCGGAGGACCATYCGGCGGGACCTCGTGCGAAACGTGGTCCGGAAGCGGATGAGGACCATCCTGCCCCGGCTCCGGTACAAGACCCACCCTCTTCGGCTRAAGAAGCTGAGGGAGGCCATGGAAAGGAAGGCGGCGGGACGCTAGGGGCTAATGGGGTGGCGTTGCCGCCAAAGACGCAAGACGTTGTGCACAAAGTTAGGGGAGGGATGATAACAATGCACATGCGGTTCGTCCCTGCTCGTCGGGAGTTCGGGACGGGATCGAAACACGCATGGCAAAGTACTAYACCCKTCTTCTCTTCGATAGGAACGGAGGACAATCGTGCGCATCTATTGCATCCAAAATCGTCCTCGGTACGGGATAAGATCGGACCACACATCCGACAACTCTTTGTGCTACTAAATACTCTTACAAAAACACCAAGCCGCACACCACTATATTTAGATTCAAACACGATTTGTACGCGTCTACAAAGAAAACCCTAATACCCTTTATTTTTGRACAAGCCTCGTCCGCGGAACGAAACAAAATGGTTGTGGCCGGACACCGATCGCCAGCAAAATTTGGTCTCGTCTCGTCTCGTCCGGGGAACGCCTCACTCCGTCTTTTCGGGTCGTGTTTGTTGCAGTCCAAGAACGAACGTGTTCGGTGCACGTCGAGGTGCCTCGTGCCGGCATCCGGTAGGATCCGGTTCGTGTTCCTGCTGCTACAAAACCGCTGGTGCTCGCCGCCGTCGCTGTTGTCGTCTGCCCGCCAAACCCGCCCCGCAACAGGCAGCAAATGGAGGCAACGGTTTTGCACGGAGCGGTCCGGCAAGGGATTGGTTTGTTGYGTTGGATGATACAGCAGTCTTTGGTTGCATAGTGCAGTACAGTATAGTACAGTGCAGTGCACTACAGTACAGTATGTTGCTTCCATTTGGTTTCCTCCTCGTTGCGCCGTTGTCGTGTCGTGCCGGACGGCACCGCACCGCGGAAAGCACACCGTCGCACACCGGAAGAGGCCCTCCCTCCCGATTGCAGCCATGCCATCATATCTCCGCCTTTTCGTGCAAGGCCGGCTCCTTCTTGGAGGAAATGCGTTCCCGGAGCTGTCGCTTCGCGAGGGGGATGAGCCACTCCATGGCCGAGCGGACCCCGGCCCCGTTCTTGGCCGACACGCAGCAAAAGCCGGTCATCGGGTTGTGGTACCGGGGGAGCAAGACGTCGGTGCAGAACATCTCGTCGACGATCTCCGTGCTGGCGTTTCCAAAGACGTGGCCGAGGATCAGAAAGGGAACCTCGTCGGGGACGGACTTTCTCACCGTGTTGAGGAGTTCTTGCTGCTTTTTGTAAATGGCTTCGATTTTCTCGTCCTCGTCCTCGTCCTCGGCATCGCTGTCGTCGTCGTCGTCGCTGTCGGGTTCTCTCGGGGGCTTGTCGGGATCTTCTCCCAGTTTCCAGCAAAAAATCACCGCRTCGCAGTCGTCGTAATACCGTTCCCAGAGATCCTGGAGTTTCCCCCCGACATCGAATATGTGGCACTTGGCACCGTACATGTCAAGTTTAGCTAGGTTGGTGCCGACTAATCGTTTCCAAAGACACGGCGAGAARAGCGGGAGTCGGCCACACAAGCACCGTACGAGTTGAGACGAGGCATCGAATCGAATCGAAGCACAGCACAGCACAGCAGCGAACACCACACAAAAGAAAGGAGGAATGCGTGTAAGAGTGGATCGATCCGAAAAGAACGCAAATCGCGAAGTGCCGGCCGACCAATCGCATCTATTCCAAGCACACAATACAGTAGCTGGTTGCATGCCAAGAAGAAACTCACTGGTAGGACGGATCATCCGGAGCGGAAGCATTTTTGCCTTSGCCTTTCGGTGGTATTCCTCGGGCGTCGACTGGTGCAGCGCCGGGCCCCGCGGTAGTGGTGGTGGTTGTTGTGGTTGGGGTTGTGCCTGCGGGTCCTTTCCCAACGACGGATCGCTGCCGCCAACGCCAACGCCAACGCCAACGTCGAGGTCGATCGACTGCATGCTGGTGGCCCGGGTCTGGTTCCTTCCGGGGGGGGGAGGTGGCTGGTGCTGCGCCAGGTCGATTCCGTCGGTGATCAGGTCCAGCGTGTCCACGTCGAACTCCTTCGAGTGGTTCCGGCGGCGCCCGGGCGGGCCCCCGTTTCGGTGGTGGTTGGCGCTTGCGCTGCCTCCCAGCAGCAGCCCCTCCGCCTCGTCGTCGACGCCGTCGTCGTTGTCCATTAGGTAGACCTCGTCCTGGTCCTCGTCCCGCGCGGACCGCGAGTAGCGCTCCGGGGCCGGGCAGATGGAGAAACGCCTCCTCCGTTCCCTGACGACGGGCGACGCCGCGGCCCCGTTTGTTTTGCCGTGCCCGGTAGGAACAGGACCAGCGTTTCGTTGCACCCGGGCCCGGCCGGTTCCGTTTCCGTGGCTGTTGCCGTTGCCACTGCCGCCGCTCCCCGCCAGGCTGCCGCTGGAGGAGGCCATCGTCCCCGACCGGTGCCGCAGCCGGCTCGCCGCCCCCGTGGCAAAGAGGGCCTCCCTCAGCGCCTCGGGGGGCTCCTCCGCCCCGAGTGGATTCCTCCTTCCGCCGCTGCTCCCCTTGCCCGACAAATCCGTCGCCTTGAGCCGCTCCAGCAGCGTGGTCTTTCCGGCCTCCGGAGCGCCCACCACCAGCAGGTTCAGCTGCGTGGGGGCCAGGTAGCTGTCGTAGATTCCGTTCAGGAGGCTGAACATGGCTGCCTTGTGTCGATGCTTGTCGATGCTGTGTTATGCTGTGTTGTGTTGTGCAAGAATTACTTCTATCTGTTGCCGGTGTTGTTGTGATGCGATTGCTGTTGTTGTGGAACGCTGCGCAATGTCTTCTCGATGCGGGACAAGATGCCTCACTGGTGATGAAATGGACTCTGTGGGTGAATGTTCTTTTGCGGCAATACAATCGGTCCCTTCTGCAATGCCTCTAGCGATGTGACCCTGACTTCGTACCAGGAATTCGTTCTACTGGTACGAGTACCCCGTACTGTAGCTACGAGCGGTTTGTTTTGTTCCGTTCGGTTTGTTTGAGACTCGTTTCGTACGAGTAGATGCCCTACGCAAGGGGTTTGGATGATTTTATTTTATTCGCTTCGGTAGCTCGTTATTTTGTCGTTAATTTCATGTGTTATTACAGTGCGTTGTACAGCACAGTCCCTTTCTGTAATCTTGTACGTACGAGTACCGTACGGTACTTCTAGCACACGCACAGCCCTCTAGTGCTCGTACTCGTACTGGTACTACCGTACGTGGACTGCGTACTAAGACTACCGTTGCTGCGACAGACAAAAAAGTCAGAATAGAAAAAGATGCGTTCGGACTTCGGGCGTGGGACGGAAAGATTCATTCAAACCGTACCTGGTACGTACGTGCCGGTACATACCCTACCGTACGTACGTAAGAAATCGTGAGCGTAGATCGTACTTTCGCAGCGACGTTTGACTCAATCGACTGAAAAAAACATACAGTATTCTGGTTTCGAGAGGCTATCAGACGGAACGAGTGACGAGTACGAGTACGTACCGTACAAACTGGTACGAAGTACGAGTTTAGGGTGGGGGACGGCATCTTCTACGGAATTTTGGAATCTGAAGATCTAAGATCTTGTTCCAGAACACAACAGAACCGAACAGTTACACCTACAKTTACAGCTACAGCTACGGAAGCTGCCATCCTATTGCAACCAAACCCGATCCCCTCCATCGCTCCATCCCATTGCTAACCACCGTTCGCTGTTCGGAGGACCGAAGCCCCGGACCATCCGACAACACACCGCTTCGCATCGCATCGCATCGACTCGACTCGACTCGCATCGACCCGACCCGATCCACGTCGTCGCTGCGCATCGAATCGCATCGAAGCGCAACCGGTGGAACCCCGCCGGTCCGCACCGATTCTTCCCCCGGAAAAGCGACCATGGTACCGCAGCGGCAGAGGCAACGGCAACGGCGAACGAGAGCCCCGCTGAGGGGCTGCGACACCTTTGTCGCCTACCCGCCCACCACCCCCGACGGCTGCGCCTTCTTTGGGAAAAACTCGGACCGGCCGAAAGGGGAGGCCCAGTCCCTCCGGCGCTACYCGGCGGGCCGCCATCCCCCCGGATCCACCCTGGAGTGCACCTACCTCTCGATCCCCCAGGCCGCCGAGACCTTTGCGGTCCTGGTCTCGCAGATCGACTGGATGTGGGGCTGCGAGCACGGGGCCAACGAGCACGGGGTGTGCATCGGAAACGAGGCCGTGTGGACCAGGGTCCCCTTCGAGGCCGAACCGAAGACGGGAAGGCCGGCCTCGCTGCTCCTCGGGATGGATCTGGTGCGGCTGGGCCTGGAGCGAAGCCGGTCGGCGCGGTCGGCCCTCCGAACCATCACGGAACTCCTGGAGGAACACGGACAGGGCGGGGCCTGCGCCGAGGGCGATCCCTCCTTTTGCTACCACAACTCCTTTCTCATCGCCGACGCGGGCGAGGCATACGTCCTAGAGACGGCGGGAAAGCACTGGGTCGCCCAGCGGTGGGCCTCCGGGGGCCGGAACCTCTCGAACGGCCTGACCATCCGGAACGCCTACGACCTCTGCTCCGAGGGCCTGGAGGACTACGCCAGGGARCTGGGCCTGTGGGACGGAACCGGGCCACTCGACTTTGCCGCCGTCTTTGGCGAGGACGGCCCGGGGGGCCTTCCTTCGGAGGACGAMGASGACGAGGACGACGACACCCGCTTCGGGTGCGGCCGGGCCCTGCTGGAGAAGCACTCCGGATCCGGCCGCTTTGGCAAGGGGGACATGGTGGCGATCCTCCGGGACCATTCGAGCGGCATCTGCATGCACGGCGGGGGATTCGAGACCACCGCCTCGATGGTCAGCGAGCTCCAYGCCGGAAACCCGGGCCGCAACACGCACTGGACGACGGGGCCCCACCCCTGCCGGTCGGAATTCTGCCGGCAGGAGATACTAGAACCTCCGGCGGCCGAAGCCAACCAAGGCAAACGAAACGAATGAAACGAAACGAAACGAAACGAATGAAATGAACCGAACCGAACCGAACCGAGCAAAACGAACAAAACGAAGCTAGCAATAGGCAAGAAAACGGGTTGCTCCTGTTAATCACGAGGGTTGGATCATAGTCTAGTCTGGTTTGGTCTGGAAAAGTGTGGCAATCGAGGACATCAAGGACTCATCTTGCAGAGAATCAATACGCTCAGAATTCAAAAGAAGTGCTGTTTTCGTTCTATAGTTCTTAGCTTAACATTWCATTGCACGCATGGAGCGTAACCCATGATCCTCGACCTCCAAACCTGGAACAGACAAAGAAGGAAATCGAACAATTTCCTTCACGTGGTCGAAACTATCAACATCCATATATTCCAATAAAAAATAGCGTTACCACAGGTGTTCAAGTATTTGTCGTGCTTAGTACGAATTACGAGTACTCATGTATCATAATGGTATCAGGACTATTACAGTATCATACCCAGGTACTCTAGTCGGAGTTTCGGGGTTCATGATGCTGTAATTTTTGGTTCGTGGAGCTACAAAGGTCATGTTTGTTGTCACATACTTTTCTACTGTGCTAGGAAGTAACAGGTGCGGTACCTAGGTACGATTACCTAGCGAACACAACGGCCGGATTTTTCTTTTAGTCTCGAGTCACATTTGAATATGGAGCGCTCCTYGCTCGTTCCTGCACGCTACACAAATGGAAAGTACGGTACTAAGAAGCYGGGCGTCATTCACGACTCGAAATCTGTTTTWATTGGACGAAAAMACAAAAACGARGCAACAAAAAATGAGGCAGGGTCTCAACTTTCCCGTAGGAATACATAGCTTCTGSTAKCTCATTGCKCKTCTCACACGAACCACCGGTGTAGCCGATGCTAGTAGGCGTCACGMACTGCSGTACGAGTASRGTAGGAGGGAAAGCAACAGCAATTYCAAASCGGTGAAAGGACCTGCAAYCGCCTTMWGTTTATTTTTTGGCTTGCAAAAATTTTATTCCTCACTCCAAATCACCACTTCAATCGCATTGCCGCAGACCTACATGGTTTCGACCTTTTGCCGACGAATCAACCAACAAAATCCGAGAACCAAGACCGCAAGCAGCCCARAACACCAMAGAAGAAAACACAAAACACCATAACCAAACGACAGCATGCCGAGCTACAACGAGTACGAAGATGACGACGACGACGTCGAGGTCGTCTACGACGTTCCGTACGTTAACGGGGGGGGAAGTCGACCGGGCAAGCAAAAGCACCCAAAACCCCGTGGGGGGCGCACGAACGGTGYCGCCCGGGGCAACGCCAACGTCAGTCCCGACGGAGTCGCRATGATCGGAAACTACGTCAATTTTGCGAACGTCTTTGATCCCTTTGAACAAGACCAGGATGCCCTCGCGGAGTTTTTCGACGACAACGATCCCTCGGGGGGAGACTCGAAGGAAGACTGGGAGCGACCCAACATGTTCAACGATCCCAGAAAGGTAKGTTTTGTGTGCAAGCGTTTGCCTGTTGATTCGTGCCGCSGATCATCTAAAAGTACTGTCTCACGCGCTCGTTATCTCCTTTGTTCTCTCTTTTGGAATGCTTTTGCAATGCCTTGTGCGATTCCTACTTCCTTGGCTGTTTTGAAAACTGGATATTCCAGACTGGTGTGCTGAACGATGCGGTGCATCAAATTGCTGGAAGTCCGTGGGCCAAACCCCCTATGAATACCACCAATCGTCCGACTGAACCTCTTTCTATTGCCCTACACACATCGACACTTTCCTTCTTGGTAACTGTTTCTCTCGTCGGCTTTTTGTTGTTCGTGGCCATTTGGACTTTCACCGGGGTTGGCAGGGTAATTGTAGAGATAATTCTGGCACTGATTGCCTTTATCGGTCTGTTCTGGAACGTTTACTTTTCGATCTCCTCGATCATGAAGTGCTTCATCCCTGCCAAGGCATTCCGAACCAACACCAAGTACTGCAGTGTGATTCCGGAGAACAAACCAAAGCACGCGGAATGGATGAGCGTTACGATTCAAATCCCCGTCTACAAGGAGAGCTTGCAGGAGGTGATGATGCCTACCCTCAACTCCTGCATCAGAGCACGCGATCACTACAGGAGAAACTCTGGGGCAAAGTGCAACATCGTTCTCGCCGACGACGGCATGATGGCTTATCTGAAAAACAATTTTGCAGCAGCGGAAATGCTCTGGGAGACGATCGTGGCAACCAATGGAAAATACTTCAAGCTCAGCCAGCTCCTGCAAAAAGTCCCCAAGCCCTCTCGCCGCCATTTGAAGGGACTTTCCAGCAAGGCCGTCTACGAAGTCTTTCACAGAATGCTCTACTATTATCACCACAAGATCGGTTTTGTGGCCCGATCGACGTTTGACAGGCGCGGAAAGTTCAAGAAGGCGTCCAATCTCAACTCGCACCTGCGCCTGGCATGGGGAGCGAAACAGCTGTCGGAAATAGACGACATTACCTTCGAGGAAGCCCTCATCGAAAACTCCCACAACTCTGACGGATCGCGATTCGTCATGTTTGGTGGTGACATTGAAATCGGTGACCTCCAGCTCATCAACGACGCGGACGCCCGCATGGCCGAATCCGTCATTATCAAGACGGTTCCGGAGTTTCTAAACGACAAGCACTTGGGTTTCACCCAGCACGCCACCAAAACATTGGACGACCAGCGACGCGAGTCCTACTACATTAACATGCTTTCGTCGTACACGGATGCCCTCTACATGGGGCACTTTTTGCTCAGCTCGATATTGGGATGCCACCCGCCTCTGGTTGGTCACTCTATCATTCTCCGTAGCGAGGCGATCAAAGCGACGGGTCGGATTCGAACCCTCCGTAAGGCCCAGAGATGGTTGAAAAATATCGGTCTTCCCTTTTTATCGGTCGAACAGGTGAGTTTAATTCTGCGTACTATTTTACTTCAATTCAATAGTTTGAAACTTTGCTTCACAACAGTAAACAAWCKGGACGAAAACCAATGAATTCTGCTCTAACAATTCAAACTTACTCCTGTTTCGACTTTCAGATTGGATCMTTCAACCTTCAAGATCACGGAAGCACCGAATACTGGTCCGAGTCTCACGTTTCGGAAGATTTCGAACTGATGATCCACCTCTACAACCTGGGTTTTAATGGTCGATACGTCAATTATCCCAATTGCGAATTCCAAGAGGGCATCACGCGTACTTTTGACGAAGAAGCTGGGCGCCACCGCAAATTTGCTCTTGGAGCTCACGAGCTCATGTTCAATTCGTTCAACAGCTGGCTCGGACACGGACCATTCACACCTTTGTTCTGGACATTTCTCAAATCAGACATTCCGAGCTATTACAAGGTTTTCCTAACGTCCTACCTCTTTGGATACACAAGCGGTGGTTGTTATATCCTGGTCTTTAGCATTGCAGCCATAACACGTCTTTGTGGGGTTCAAAGCSAAGTCGAATTCCTTTCTGCCTTTAGTAGTGCCGGTGTATTGGTCCTTTCCGTGGTTTGCTACTATATCATCGGGTACACCACCTTTCTATTTGCGATGATCAAGATGAAGTGGTCGAACAACAAGTTGCTATTTCCCGAGTACCGTGACCACGGTGTGATCTATCTTTGCTGGCGACTGATTCGATATTGCATGTGCTTTCAAGTAATGTTTTATTCGGTAATGGGTAATTATTTCTTCCTCGGATCGATGGATCACTTGTTGGCTCGACCGAATATATGCAGTGCGACAAACAAGGACTCTATCAAGATCACGAGATGCATCGCCTTTGGTGACATGGCTCGCTTCAACATTGGATCTTGGGGTGTAGCCGTCTACTTACTGATTATATCGTATCTCGTGGTGTTGCAGGACGCAAACTGGAACTATAACGAGTGGCCAGAAAACAAGCTGGAAACATTTTTATTTGCTGGGCCCTCTGCGTTCTTGGCACTTAGTGCCTTTTACATTCCGGTTATTTTAAACCCGTTCATCCTCGGGTGGCCTTTTAACCCACCGTTGTGCGGCCGACAGTCGGTGGAAAAGAAGAAAGCCGATAGAGCCGCAACGAAACACGTCGATCTAAACACGTTTATGCAGACCGAGAATAGACTGAACAAAGAAATCGGCCGCGCGGAAGACAAGCCCGACGTAGAGCTCGGGAGTCTCGCTACGAAGGACTTCGGCAGGAGCAATATGACGACGGTGTCTCCGCAAACGCATTTCCAAGATACAGCGCCAAGGTCTCGCTATCGATCAAAACGCCCGAATACGCTCACCCACGCAGACATACAACGATCGGCGCGAGAAGAAAGAGGAAGTTTTACCCTTGCCATGATCTAAAAAAAGTCGAAACGATGCTCCGCTTATCTTTGAGCTCTGTAAAATTTAAGAGGTTCCAAAAGATCTTGTAGATCGTATAAAATAAATAATGGTTCGCACTTTCAGACCGCTTTTATATCTCATATGATTCACAATTTTTTCCACTATCCAAAAGGCACTTCCTCATGAACAATAGTACTTTTTGCAGCTTCAAGGTTCGTCGCATTGGATGTTTGCTGCGGTGGAGCATCCAGCTAGAACGAAAATTAGAAGATGGTTGCRTTACATGAGTCTTATAATAATGTCGTTTTTGGAAATGAATGATTGTAAAGTGTTGAACAGAGGGATTGTTCTTCATACAAAGTGGATAAACATGGGGGATACATATAAAATACAGCATCTTTAATTTTTATTCCACGGTTAAGTAATATCGCCTTCAAAGGCTACAGTAGGGGAAAATCTGATCCAAGTTGTATGCGTCCGCCGATAAAAAAGCCACCACTTCGTAATGTCAAATGATCAATGGATGGGAACGAAACAGAACCCAGGAAATTCACCAATCGAACTACTGATAATGTTCGTTGACGAAGCAAAACAGGCGCACCGCGAGAAAGGGGACTGACAACGTCGCATAATCCACCAGGTGYTTCGTGTATCCAGTCGAGAACGTTTCGTTCTGCGACATGATCCATTCCAGGGAGGAAATCAAAGCCGACTCGATCTTCATGGTAGTCCGCAGCATATATTCGAAGTGTATGGATGGAACTTTCACGAGGAATGGTATGGGCGACACCATCGCCAGCTGCAGTGGCCATGGAATGGGAATGCTTTCAGCAAGAGTTAGGATAATGTTTGATGTTTTCAAGACAGTTCCCACCGCTATAAACCATCCCGTGTGCAGAGCAAAGAAAAATGCCTTCGAAATGAAAGCTGAAGAAGCCGACTTGTTGCAGAGTTCCACCACATGCGCCAGAGCAATTATGATCCATGATACGATCCATCCAGAACACGTGATATATTTTCCTACAGCGAGGCACAGAAAGACGTGGAAGAGAGACTCCGCTATGGGATGTTCCCATGGCTTTCGTTCTTGCTGTTGCCGTTTTGCTCGCCTGCGTTCTTTCTTGTCGAGGATGCCAACGGCTTCAGTCGTAAGGGTAGCTATCATGGTAGGAATAGTAGTATTGTTCCAAGTACACCCAGCCGCAAAATCGCTAGCATTCATGTTTCGGTTGTTTGTATGTACCACAAGTTGTGCGAATATCTTGTTCTGTCGCGCGATTTGTATCAGATACTGAACCACCTCGTCATCCTCGATGTATATGGCATAATGCAGAATAGAATTCCCATCCTCATCGAKCGGACGTRTTAAGCGTTGCAGGATTCGTTTGTAATAGCTCCAATCCAATTGGACGTTAAAGCCACGTTTCGATGAGGATTCGTATACACCAGGTCCCGCTTTGGCCGACGTTGATGCTCTCATTTTCAACAGAATCCATTCATCGGTAGTGTTGGCTATTTGTTGGTGAATGATGTCTATCGCAATCCCTGTTTCTCCCAATCGCATTGCGACCACAGCTTCGTCATTGCAGCAATCCATYAGAACGTAGTTTGGTTTTGATGGTGCGGCTGTGCTTCCATTCGATGTGAATTCTTGGGCTCCCGCATTTCTCATCGATGCTACACGTACGCGGTAGTCCCGTGCCTGCCTTGTGTAGTTTCTAAAGGCTTGATCGCGCACCCAAACCGAATCGAGATGGAGGTCGATCGATCGTTGGTTGTTCCACCGGCTAGACTTGCGTAGCTTTTTTCGAAACTCACTAATTTTTTTAGCGTTGCCATCCCATTCTSTCTTCATTTCTCGCTCCATGTCTTGCCGTTCTTGCTCGCGTTCCTTTCTTCGTTGTCGCCGCTCAACACTGGTGCGTCGCCGACGGCGCCTCCTTTCATCTATAGAATAGCTTCTGCGTCGACTGGGTTCCGTCGAAGTGCTTCTGCGCCGTGATGCGCTGCGTCGTCGAACCGACGGACGCCAGCTGGGTCTGCGAGTTCTGCCTTCCCGCTCCTTCTTGCTATCTTTGTCCTTGTCGTCGTTGAAAGTATCACTAGTGCTGTTGCTATCAGTGCGAGGAACAATKGGTGGATCTTCTTCGTTTTGGTCTTCTTCTACTTCGTCGAGTCGATCAAGCTCTTCCTCCAACAAGTCGTAGTAATGATTGATCGTTTGCATTTCCTGAATCGATTCCTCTGTGTTGCCGTTGCGATCTGGGTGGTGAATAAGACTGAGCCTCTTGTACTTTTTCTTAACGTACTCTCGGGTAAACGTTCGTTTGAGCGTTATTTCAAAGTACAGCATTGCTTTGACTAGTTCTGGTGACGACAAGGGCGAGATTGGAGGCGGATCGTCTGGTGCACCTCCGTCAGTACTAGTGTTGTCGTTCGCTGGGCCCTCGCTGTTTGTTTCCTCGCCAGAGTCGCAACTCATTCCGTCCATGCTGCGACTCGACCTTGTACTCGACCATTTCCATCTCGATGACCTTCTCCTTGCCCGCCGAAACGATGAATCGCTTTCGTCGGAAGAAAAGGAACTCGGAGACGTCGGAATCTTCGAGTGCGCTCGGTGGAGGTATTTTTTGAATCCCATTGTTTCCGTTCGCCCCTCTATAGTCTAYAGTTTTTKTTCGTTGTCTGGTATTKTCAATGCGAGCTTCGTCTTCTTTTTATTTGTAACATYCAACGTATGAGATATTCAGCATTATTCTTTTCCATCGTGGAGTCTAGACGCTGSCAGTGTACAACCAGAAAGTGGTTCGAGCTTCGAAAACAGAGAGCACTCCGCATGATGTTTAAAAAAAAACTCGGCCTTCTACTTCTAGTCCCTTCTTGTCTTGAGTGCAGCAATAGTAGTACTACCATTAGTTAAAATACTGTACAGTCGTAACCGTAGGGGTCGTACTTATGGGGCGAAAACCTGTCACGCTGATAATTTTTTTAAATCACGTTCGGGGCAAAAAACGATTCCGTAGTTTGTTTCTCCGTTCAAAACCTAGAGTACAGTAGGTACTTCCTTAACGACAGTGTAACGTTCGTATTACGGTCAGACCGAAAAATTTGCACACACTGTACCGTAGCATGGCAGTGCCAGAAAGAACTCTAAAAAGTTGTAAATGTACCGTAGAAAGGTTTTGAGCAAAAAACTTATCCTGGTGTGCGACCATATCGTACGGCAGAAAGAAAAGTACCGAAGTGCTAGAAGTACTAAAAATACTACTAAAAAATACTTTTAACACAGTACAGAAATARATTGAGACCATTGAAAAACCAATCTCTCATCTGTACGGTTGCAAGAGGCCTGCAGCCTGGGGAGCACCCAGAGCAAAACAATAGTTTCCTTACTGTAACAGTTGCAACTCATTTTCAAACTCCATGGAGTGAGATCGACAGCTCACTTGTTTTGAGGCCAGTCTTCGATYCTCACTTAGGGGGCAGTTAGAATTCTATACAATCCAGGATCTTTCTTGAGCTTACCCCTCTGGATTGAAATCAGACACGTGCTACAGCAATGCCAATTGTGATAGTCAAAGGCCAAYATCCATTGCTTATTTGTCAATTGTTCCAATTTGAAAGATTATCTTTCGATTCCGATTGGATGCATATGCAAAGACCCATTTCGGTTTCTTCTCTTCGGTGCCCCATTGCTCGGAATTTTTTATATGCTGTTTCCTAGAACGAATAGCAGCGCATTCTCGTACTGTGCATCGTCCTCACTGGAGCTTGGCGCAACAGTCATTCCCTTCTTCCCTTTCCTAGAGTCAACTATGTGGTACGGTTGCCGTTGCCGCTGTCGCCGTTGCTTTTGATACCAACACAATTGTTTTTGTTTGCTCCGGCCGCTGATGCTGTCGACAAGGAGGATCCATCGCCGCCACCGCAAAAAGCACCACCCTCGGTTTTCTACACAGCGTTGGGACACCGCGACGATCCAACGGTGTGGTTCTCCGGGTTGTGCGGCCCGCCACGGGCCACCGAAGGGTTGTAGCCGAGCATGGCCACCATTTCCTCGTGCGTCTTGGGCATCATCGCCTCGATGTCTTCCAGGGTTGCCCCGTTCGCCACCGCTTCGTTGATGCGGGGCTGCATCTGCTCCTGAACCAGTTTCTGGAGTTTCTTGGCGATCATTTTTTCGTTTCTCCTCTGCTCGCTAGCCTTGAATCGATCGTAATCGGATTGGCTGTAAAAGAGAACGTTTCGTATGCTGCCGCCGCCGTTGCTGTCTTCGTCGTCGTATTCCGCCAGGAGGGGTATTTCGAAGATTTTTGTAGTGCAGTCGGTGTGGAAAGAAACCCTTCGTCGTTTCACCGTCGTTTCTTTTGCTTCCGTTGCCTTCGTTGCTACAGACGATGGCGCCGATGCGGCTTCCGCTCCATCGCTATCGTTGCTCCTTGCCAGGCCGGAGTCCATGCCGGCGTCTTGCGATGGTTTTTTGTGCATGTTTGTCCCGTCGACAGTGCAGGCTTTTTTTAAATTTTCGTCCCCATCGCTATTCGACATCAAGACATCGTTTGTGTTGGTGGGGCTGGTGACCATGTTCCGGATCTGCCGGACTTGCTACAATTGGTTTCAGTGATGATGCTTTTTCTCGGCATCGATTGAATCAATCCGTACRGTGCACTAGATGTGGCTTTCTAGTGACGATACTGGTCGGGACCGAATGCCTTTGTCACATGTGCTGCCTGTTCAACAGCTAGAGCAATAATGTTAGATTGGAAACGATTGATGCCATCATAAGTGTTCGTACGGTACCTGGGTACTCGTATGAGTTTCAAGTATTGCTCATCATTGTGGGCACTACTGTACGGTACGGTACAGAAAGTACAAGAAGTAAGAGCACGACTACGAGTAACGTGCTCATGTTTAAACATCAACACTGCGCGGAATTAAGTCGCGCGATCTACTGTACTGGTATACAGGAAGATACGTAGGACAAGGTATGGGCAATACAGATAAGGCATCTCATTTCTAATCTTTGGTATTGTGTCTCTCTTTAGGCTCTCTCTTATCTTTAGGGAGCTCGGGCGGAGGAGGGAAGAAAAAAGACATTTTGTGTGTTGTGTTTCGTCACAAAAATTGAATCCAAAAATAGCCCCTACGGATAGGCACGAAACTAAATCTGTTCTCCCGTTACCTCCTCATGGAAGATAGCCAACAACCACCTCTGCCGTACTAAGTCCAAGCTATTGTTATCACGGCCATCGAACACCAATAGCCAGGAACGCCACACAAGCGCACTCAGTCAACTGCAAATCGAAATTTTGCCMAAGGAAGTACGAAGTAATTACGACGAGATGATCCACGGCCCGAGATTCTACGGACAATACCACGGGCACCCCATACGAGACCTGGAAGTCCTGCTGCCCGCCCTACGGGAAGCATCGGATTCCCTGGTCTGGACCGCGGGGGATTCTTCTCTCGACAACAAGTACTGGTTCGAAGACCTCCGGCCCGMGGTGGGAGCCTACCGGCGGGTCTTCGAACCCCCCGCCAGGATGAATGCAGACGTGACGTACTGGCTCAACTTCCTGGCCGAGGAGCGGGCCCAAGAGCAGGGAGCGCGGGCTCGGCCACGCTTGGCCGCCATTAACACCGCCGTCGAAGCCACCACGGTGAACGAACGGACCCACCGGCTGCGGCCCCAGGACGTCTTCCTCCGAGATAACATACGAGCACAAGACACCCTGGTGGTCAGCATCGGCGGCAACGACGTGGCCATGATGCCGATGCCCTGCACAATCCTATCCGTGCTGTCTCTGGTGAAGATGCCCCTGCGTTGTCTGGAGTCTGCCTCTTGCGTCTGCGCCTCGCCCGCCTGCGACGAGCACTGCCACGGATGCGGCCCGGTGGCGCTGTCCTCGTGCGCCTGTGCCTTTCCGCCCTGTCTCGGCTATGCGGTCCACCTGTTCGGGACCCGGGTCCAGAAGTACATCGAGAAGCTAACGGCCAAGACCAAGCCCAAGCGAATTCTGGTCTGCATGATCTACTATCCCGACGAGGCAATGACCCCGAGCTGGGCGGGCAACGCCCTGCGGTGCCTCGGATACGACAAAAACCCCGCCACGCTGCAGTGGCTGATCCAGCGCATGTTCGTCGAGGCCACCTCGAAGATACGGATTCGAGGAGCGACGGACGTTGTCCCGGTCCCCCTCTTCCGCGTTCTCGATGGCAAAGTCAGCGGCGATTACGTAGCCCGGGTGGAACCCAATAGCCGTGGGGGGAGGAAAATGGCCGAATACCTCTTAAACGTGATTGAGCGACACGAAGAGAATCCATCTCTTCCTCCGCAAGAACGGCATCGTGATCCATACCATCCGCYATCGTCGTCAACATCTGTGCCYATTGAATCAACCTACATGGTTGATCGAAGTTAGTCCACTCGATGCTAACACCAGCGAGTGAATGAGTAGAATGAAACATGCGAAAAGGACGATCTGGGATTGAACAGAATGAACATAGGTGGTCAAATTTCATTGTGTAGATGAAGTGATAGCGCAGCTCCATATAAAGTGATATCCTCAACATAATCATCTRCTGATCGGTAATGACAAGCCTGACCGACAACCCAAACCAAAACGGAGGGGGGAATGTATGATAGGGGATGGCGCAACCAACTGCCAACAACAAGTTCTCTCGCGGTTGTTACCACCGGTTTTCTAGCGACTTATTCAAAAATATAGYTCGACAGAGATCATCCACCATACCTACGTTGATKATTGTCAATGACTTCCTTGGAAATTATATCATGACGAGTAAGTCTTCAGTTGATGGTCCGCTCCGTGAAAAAATAGTCAGCCCCGTATGTGACTGATGCACGGTTCTGTGAACCTGTGTTGTAAGAAAGTAATTCAGGTTTTAATTTGTAYACCTTTAGGGCACAGTGCCGCATAAGCATTCAATGACAATAGATTGAATTGTCTCTCCTAAAAGTCTGGYKAACACACCGATACCATTCTCAAGAACACGATTCTCRTACACAATCAACGTTTCTGCTTTAGGTGCAATAGCGAGAAAAGTAGAATGACGAGTACGAGAGAACGCTTGCTGGTAATTCTTGCTCATTCGAGTCGGCCCATGCTCCTTTCCGAATTGACAAAGTCGATCGATGCAGGTAYAAAAAAGAAAGAACTCARTGGTTTGCTCTATGCTTTGAAAGAACGAGGGTTGGTCGAAAGAACTATCGAAAATCCACCGTTGTGGTCGGCTACTGCTGCAGCAGCTTCGTCCGTAGTACTAGAGGGCGATGATAATGCTAGTGGCGAAGACSAGAGCACAATGATAACTCAAGACGAAYATRATTTAGTCGGTATATTAGTGCAACAAGGTAAAGAACATGGTATGAGTGCTTCTTCGTTGGCTGCTGCCCTCGGAAAATCGGTTGCCGCCACAAATAAAATGTTGTACGGAWTGGAACGGAGTAGCAACATCATCTGTTGCTCAAGACACAGTCCACCTTTGTGGAAGATTCAATCAATCCAAAGTTCCTCGACGGAACTCACACACTCGACATCTTCGACTCGAGGGAGCGACTCCATGGAAAGCCAACAGACTTTCTTCGAAGGAGACAAAAAACAGGCACCAAAAGTTCGATCCGACACAGTAGGAGACCAAAAACTGGCACGAAATGTTCAATCCGACATAGCATGCCTTTGTGATAATCAAGGCAAGCAACARCAWAAGCGTGCGAAAGTGAATCTAGGCATTCAAGTGCACCCTAATGCAAGCTGTCCCGTAGCTTCATCAAGTTCTATCACTGTTGCAAGAAAAAAAATCAGGGAATCCTTGTCAAAACATCATAATCCAAAAAGTTCAGGCAGGGAGTCGGCCTGGGCCAAGAAGTGTGGGGATGCGGTGTGGAAAAAATACAGAAGATTGAACCCCGATGCCAAGGATAACGATATTGTTGCAGGTTTTATTGTCCATGAGCAAGAATTTCCCGCAGAGACATGCAATGCTGTAAGGGTTGTAGCTATTGGATCTGGTACCAAATGCGCCTCTGGYGCGATACTTAGCTGCGATGGAAAGGTAGTTCATGATTCTCATGCCGAAGTGGTAGCTCGGAGAAGCCTTCACCGCTGGCTGTATTGTCAACTCAAGAAAGCAGGAAACGCTGGGTCGATTGCTGTAAAGAACAAGAAAGGGAGYGACAAACCCTACAGCTTGCRGCCGTTKTACTTGTGGYTCTATATATCTCAGACACCATGCGGTGATTCTGCTGTTTACTCTCGTGRAGCACCGAATGTAAATCTGTGTTGGCAARGGCAACACGCGGGGTCGTTTCGAATCAAAGTGGAGGMCGGCCAGGGCTCAGTTTTTGCGCCAAGAGAAGCCAAACAGAGTTTAGATGGCTTSAGGTTGGGTGACCGTGTGATGCACAACTCGTGTTCTGATAAAATAGCAAAGTGGTGTGTTCTGGGTGTGCAAGGCGCCCTATTGTCGCGCCTAGTAAACCCTATTTATGTCACCGGTGTTGTTGTTGGCGATGTATTTTCTCACGGTCACATTTGCAGAGCTATTTGTTGCCGTTCGGCCTACGCCTTGAAAATAACAAATGCAACATTGCAGAAACCCTATGAGGTGAAGCATCCTCGGATACGGAATGCCCCCCGAAAGGTGCCAAGGTCGATACAGATAATGAAAAAGGGAAAATTCTGTTACAATTGGGCAGAACAGGATTCGTCCAGCATAGAAGCGGTTGATGGCGTCACAGGCCGCCTAGCAAGTGGAAAAGAATCTCGTATCTGCAAGAAAAAATTGTTTGAATGTTTTTCGAAACTTCACACTGCTGCCTCAGAGAAACCATACTCGGAGAATAAAGCGCTCGCACTCCCATACCAGAGATCCAAGAAAACGTGGAAAAATGCCATGAAGGGTTTGTTTGGATCCTGGACTGAAAAACCAAGTGAAGTTGATGACTTCCGACTTTTTCACCAATCACCCTTTTAGACTAGATGCTTTCATTCGAGCCATGTGCAGAACCACTGTAGTTCTGTAGAGAGTGAAAAACTTGTCGCCGTCACTACATGATAAAATAATCACGACACCTTGCCTTTTGAGCCACGCAACAAAAGGATACCGTGAAAAATAAAGGACTACTTGGTTCCGAAAGTTTGGACATGGCAAACGGTGAATCCTAGTTTAGCGACGATTTACAAGTCGTCGATTTCTCCCATGAATTTGTCGTATTCGTCCTCCTTGCTTTGTTTCGCTACCAGGRATTTTGAGTCCGGCTTGGTCTTTTTGTTTTGTTCCCGGTCTTCCCCGGCGATGCCCCCGTCCGAATCTTGTTCCGTCTTTCGTTTCTTGTTCTGCAGGTTCGTGGGAACAAACGAGACGAGTGCCTTGTCTACCGTGACGACTTTTCTCGCGGGTTTGGCCAGAGCCCCCGGTGCATCGCTCGGGGACGGATGGAAGGCTGCGTCGGAGTCGTCGACCGGATACGAATCGGTGACGGGGTAGGCCAGGTCCTCGCCCCCGGGATAGGGCTCGTCGGTAGGGTAGGGCGCCACCGCATCTTCGTCGTCTTCCCCGCCGCCGTAAGCACCCACGGGGTAGGCAGCCGCTCCGTCCCAGTGGTCGYCGTCGTCGTCCCCGCMMACCGGATAACCGGCGGCGCCGACGTCGTCGGAATCGGCAACGGGATACGGGGCCGGCCCGGCATGGCCGTCCTCGTCGATCGGATAGGCAGCACMACCTTCGGCACCGTAGCTCCCGTCGAAAGGATAGGCGGCTGCCCCGGCGCCACCGCCGTCGTCCACCGGATACGGAGAAGGCCCGACCCCGCTTGCCCCCCCGCTTCCGTCTGCCGGGCATGCCGGGGGGGGAGGAGGCGGGGGGGCATCCTTCCCCAGAGCGGMRATGCGGTCCYGGACGCTCGGTCCGTGGTTTCGGAGCGCGGCAATCCTTTCCGCTGCGCTGTCGTTGGTGCATGGGTCCACGCCGGCCTCCCCGCCGCCGCAATGGTTCGTCCCTGCTCGCGGTGAAGCAATGCGGTCCCGGACTTGTTCGTTTCCGGGACCTCCGCCGGGGGTTTCGCAAGGGTTGGCGGCCGGTGCGGCCATCAAATCGGCTCTCATGGCGGCAATCCGGGCCTGCATCGATTCGTCCATGTCGGCATCCCCGTCGYCGTTTCCATCGCCGCTGGCACCACCCTTCAGGGCAGCAATTCGGTTTTGCACGCTGTCGTCGTCGTCGTCGGCGGCGGCACCGGCACCAGCCCCGCCACCGGAGGGTGGYTGGTTCTTCTCCGTTTCCCTGAGCGCCGGAAGGTCTCCCATCGGAACCCAGCCGTCGGGGTCCATCCGGTTCGTCCGGGACTTGGTGGTGGGAGGGAAGTATCCGGCATCGATCCAGCCCCTCATTTGTTCCTTCGAGTAGGGCCCCTGCACGGCCCCCGCATTGTCCCGGTAATAGAACTCCAGCGGGGGTTTCTTTTTCTTCTTCTTCTTGTCCTTTTTCTTCTTTTTCATCTTSGTCCCAACGTCGTCGGCCTCTAGGTCGAGGAGATTCGTTTTCCGCTCGTATTCCACTTCTTCGTTCGAGGCCCAGATGTCCGCGAGGGGACCCCCCGCCCTGCCCTTTCGTTTCGCCACGCGGAGGGTCCGTTGCACGGCCTCGGACGGGGCCGGGATGGAAGGAACGACCGGTGGTGCTGGTTTCGTGGGGGGTGCTTCGCTGGGGGGTTCCTTGCTCGGTTGCGGCGACGATGACGACTTATTGGTCCCCTCGCTCGCTGCCGGGGGTTTCGCGGGCGAAGGAGGTTCTTTGTTCGTTTCCTTGTTGTCGGGTGCTTCCCTGGCCGGTGGCTCGTGCAGTGGTTGTCGTTTCTGGGAAGCCTGGCGCGCCGAGGATCCTTGCTCGTTCTGTTGTTGCGGCGGTCGCTGATTGGGATGTGGCGGTCCTCTTTGCTGTTGTTGTTGCTTTTGCTGTTGCTGTTGCTGTGGTCGTCGTTCGTATTGGTGGTGTTGCGGTGGTCGGTTGTGTCCCCCCTGACGGGGGTGGTGGCGTTGGGGTGGTGGTGGCTGATTCCCGTGGCGAAAAGGCGGCGGCGGCGGCGGAGGCGGGGGAGGAAGGCTTGGTTCTTCGCCCGGAACCACCGCCTCGTGCACGCTGGGGGTCACCCCCCCGAACCTCCGGTGGTACAAGCGGGGCTTGCCCGGGGGCGGGGCCCCGTACGGGTTGAGGACGCTGTCGTAGTAGACCGATTTCCGGGGATCGTCCAGCTCCGTCGGGGGCCGCTTGCTCGGGGCAAACCGGTTTGCGATCTTCTCGGCCTCCCGCTCGGCGTCGGCCCTGGCCTTTGCCTCGGCCGTGGCCTCCTGGAGGAGCCGCAGCTCCTTCCGCAGCCGCGCCAGCCTGTGCTCCGCCGCCGACTTTTGCCGGCCCTGCTGGGACCGCTTCAGGTCCCGCTCCGCCTTCTGGATGTCCTCCCGGACCTCCCGGAGGGTCTTGGTCTCGACGGCCTTCTCGTCGCGCTCGCGGATTCGTCGCTCCCTGGCCTTTTGGAGTTCCTTCTGCCGGGCCTTCTTGTGGTGGTCGTGCATCGGGTTGGAGGACCCGCCGCCCTTGCTGCCGCGAGCCATGCCGGCGGTGTCGTGTCGAATGCCCCGCGTCGGTGGGTGGGCAGTGTGGCGTGGCGTGGCGTGGCGTGGCGTGGGTTGTCTGGCAAAGTACCAGTGCTGTGCTACTGTACGGGCAGTTCTTTCCTTTCTTCGGTTGGCGCTTTTTGCTCCGTGTSCTTGTCGATCGGGCGTGGATCCGGGCTCTTTGTTCCTTCAGAGGAMAAGGGAGCACAACACGGACTGCACGGACTACCAGCACTGGTTACAAAAGGGTGCAAGGCTAAAGTGGTTTGTGTTTGTCAGTGTTGGTGTAGCATCTCCCATCTCCAGTTTGTCGGAGGGTTTGAAAAAAATATTTTTGGGAAATCTGTTTTTTTTTCAAAAAGTTTTGGGGGGTTTTCACCAGCAGCAGCAGGCATGGTGCTAGCTAAGCCAACGTTACGGACACGTACTACGACAGACGAGATCGACAAAAGCATTCTTTTTTTTCTGGACATCGAACTCTGGAAAACATGAACGGGTATTAGAAAGAGACGACYAATACCGGTACGTACGTACTCGCATGCCKACATCGGCCCATGGTGTYGCTTRCGGCCTGATACACAGTCTACAAAATACAGAATTGTTGCAATCATCCAGCGCCGCGTCGAGTCGAGAACAGAAAGCCTTTTGACAAATTTTGGAATGCAAAGTTTTCACTGCTCGCATGAAAAGTTCTTTTTTTGGTGCAGTACTGTATCATGGTCGTTCTAGTTAGTATGGTACGAGGCTCAAGCACGGCCGGTATTGTTTGTTTGTCGCAACCGGCCACAACGTTCGATGATGCGACCAMTTTGCGACAGATTGCTCCTGCGTCGAAACAGCGAGCGAAAACCGCAGCGTTCCAGATACCGCCATTGCCGTGTTCGGTTTCGGCTCGAGTTCCATCCTTCCTTTCTACGATGGCTCGAGTTGGTCGTTTCCGTTTCCTAGTCGTAATAGTTGAGGCCCTTTTGGAAGCGATACGTGTTGGCCTCCGCCTCGACGGCGGCGGTTCTCCACTCCTCCAGAAAGTTGGCCCCGGCGGGTGGGAGCGGACGGCCCGCGATGATCGCCTCGATGTCGTTCTTGATGTTCGAGGGCTTGTACTTTCGGGGGTACCGCCTCAGGGGGAGTCCCGTTCGCCCGTCGATCAAAAACTTTTCAAAGTTCCCCTCGACGCGCCCCAGCCCGGCGGGGGTTCGGCAGTTGCTCTGCATCCACCGCCAAAAGGGAAGGGCCCTCTTTCCCAGAATGTCCGTCTTGTCCGTCAGGATAGTGGCCGGATTGATCCCGTACCCGTACTCCGAGGCGAGYTTGAGGCGGATCAGCTGGGAGGTATCGGGTTCGTAGTAYCCCTGGTCCGTGGGCGTCAGAATCACGGCGAATTCTCCGCTCCGTCCGTACTTGGCCGCCAGCGAGATGAACTCGGGAATGTCCTTTCGTGCGATGGGATCGTCTTCCTTCATGTTCGACACCAGGATTACCTTGCACTTCGATCTGCCGTCCTCGTCGACCTCCTGTCCGATGAGTTCCCGGAAGGGGATCGACTTTCCGGACACGGGGAGCTCGAAGTCGTACGCGGTTCGGGTGTCCCCGCTCCCGTTGGCAATCGCTGCGGCGGCGACGCGGTCTCCGGCTTCGGACGACAGCTTTTGGGCGCGGGCGGCGATGGAAGCAAAGGATTCTTCCTCTTCGGCCAGRGCCGTTCCGGGGAAGACCGAKGAAGCCAGGCCGGCAAGCCCCACCAGACCGATGGTTCCCCCGGACAGGAAGGATCTTCGGTCGCTCTTCCTGTCGCCCGAGACATCGTCCTCGACGATCGATTTCGTGTAGAGAGACGTCGCTGGCGTTTTGGATGCCAACAAAACGCTCTGGAATGCCTCCGCAGAGAACGCCAGCAATGCTAGCCCCAGTGTCAAGAATCGCACCATCTTTGTGCAAGCGTAGTTCCTTTCTTGTTAAGAGATGTTTGCAATCCTCGACCGGTGTCTTCCAATCGTCGTGCCGCTGGCTGGACTCGCTGTCTCGGCTGCTTCGATCCGGTGGAACAGTGGGAAAGAGATCATGATGCAGCCATCACGTGGAAGCGATTCCAATTGGGTTTGGGTTCAACTTCCTGAGAAAACACGTCCGAATGACGTAGTGAAAGTACGAAGCACCGTACTTGGGTACCGTATGTAGGTACGCTACGACAACCTGCACATTCCTGCTCAAAGTAAGTAGCGGGTACGAGTACGTACCAGGACTCGTACTTTTCTGTACAGGGAATGAAAAAAAAAAGTTCGACTAGAACCAAAAATCCAAAATGTGGTATGATGGATAGTTCGGGGGTGCTATCCTTACTTGCGTACGTACAGAAAGTACTATGAAAAAAATTGGCTCGCTAACGCAAATACCTCCTCCGTTTCCAAATATTGGTGCAGTTTGCACCTCTCTGGTTGGAATAAGCTCAATATTTGGGCGATTTGACTGCTTCTTTTTGTGCTAAACAGATCTATTAATAGGGGAGGCGCTACTACTACTGAGACACTGCTGGTAGGGGAGGCGCTACTACTGAGACTTGCCACCTGATGCCTGCTGCTCCATTCTTAACAGGGGATCCATGAACCCACTGGCGCTTGCGTCTCTGTTGCTTCCATTATCAGGGGAAGTTAGTGCCAGTAAAGTTGAAGTTATGCTCTGAAAAGAATGTGTAGTAGAAGCTATTCAATGAAAGCACTGTGGCTGTTTGYTGTTGTTTCTGAAATATGAATGGAAATCATTGATTTGTTGTGTAGTAGTACTACTAGTATGATGCTGGGTATTGCTTTTGTTGTTTTTTTGGTAAGCAGAAGACTTGATCTTACAAAGAGACCATTCTTGGAAGAAGTTTCAACTCTTGTTGAAAGCACAAAATAAATCCAATTGCTTGTGAAAGACRAAGTTGAAACCAACACATTCCAAAGATCTTCCCTGTAATTTGTGAACAGTTCTTGAATTGTTGGCAATATTAATTGGGAATTGAGATAATTGTATTCCCTTGTGACTTGTTGAGTTTGATTGGTACTAATTCTTCTTGATTCAGCATATTCCTGCAGACATCAAAATATTACTATTGCTGCCATGTTTTGAGAAGATAGTGACAAAGTAATCCTTTTTTTGAGTCTCCTTCTTGTTCAAGGACTAGTAGTACCTCCATCAATTCAAATTTATTGGCCTCTACACAATGAACATAAAATCCATCCATGTTGATAATTTCACAATTGTAGTACCCATTTTTCACTTTGACAGACTTGAATGTACACATGGCTCCATTTGCTTTTGACTTTTCAACATCTATGTTGCCTACCAACATACAATTTAAGCATTGGATACGTCCTTTTGGAAAATTTGTTTGTACTACCTGCAACAATGCCAGCATCTGATGTGGCAGATAGCAAGCAGAATTTCTGAAATTCTGGCATGTCTCTGTATTTTCTTTTTGTCTATATGCAGTTTTAGGTTACTAGAGGAGGCCATCATTGTTACAATGGTGTGATCTGGTAATCTCTCATTTATATTTTTTGAATGTGTTCATTTGAGAAACTCAGATAATATGCCATCATTTATTGCACATTTGTCTGCATTGCTACATGTTGCACAAGCAACAATATCTTCTGGGAGTTTGTCCCAAGGTTTTACTGCTGTCTGTACTAGGATATCAGACTGTGGGTATGATTCATATATACAACACATACATATGACACATATMTATGATTCATACACACCATACATATATGACTCACTYGATCCCATGGATCCATATGATCCACATGACTTAGTTGATTCACTAGCGTGAGTGACTCAACTCATTCCATCCACACATCACTCGATCTTCATTCTGATCAGTTTTAGATTTCATATTTTGTTGATCCTCGATAATAGCATCRACTCACTTTTCTTCTAGCACTCAATTTACATCACTATTACTAGATAGTCACTCCCACAGGTTATGACACCCTTCCAATAAAAATTATCACCACCATGGTTACAATTCTTGAATTGATGATTTGAACATGATGCTCTTCTTTCAAGCCATTTATTCTTAAATCATTCAGAAGCTCTCCCCAGATTGGATCATCTTTAAACCATCGGTTTGTTTTAAGTTCAAGAAATGTGTTGGTTTTTCTCTCCAACAAAGATGGATTTTTTTACAATACTACTAGAGAGTCTTCTCCCATGGGTTTGAGTTGATTGAAGTCACCTCCAAAGACAATTGGTAGATTGCCATACAAATTATATGATGGCTTGTCACACAATCAGCCCAGCAGTGTTCTTCCACATTTGTGGGAACCTTGATGAGTGACAACCAAAGTTTCAATTTGCAGCTTCTTGAATCTGTCTGCGAACCACTGAATCTGACCTGGATCATGTATCATATCCATATTGTTAACAAAATTTGCCTGAAGTTCATCAAACAAACAAAGATTGCCACTTACTTCATTAGTTTGACAGCTGTTCCCTCCATTTACTAAGGATTTTGTGTAACTTGGTTGCTTGTTCTAGAGCATCTTTTGATCCCCTTTTTAAATGTTCCCTGAATTTTGATAAATATTTCAAATATGTCTGGAGTTCTTTTTTTGCATTCCTAAATGAAAAAATAGAATCATTGCTGTTTTAGCATATTTTTCCATTGCCAACAAGAAGTTGTGATGAGTATCTTTTGGATGATTGATGTTACCATCAATGGGGATGCCTCCAAAGCTTTCACTGTTCCCCTTTGGAAATTTTTGTTGTGGGGTGTGGAGTTGACCAATCAATTGTTTCTTTTTTCTTCTTTGATTTGATTCCTTTTGTTTTGGTGAAGCCAGAGAAAAAATCCATAAACAGAAACATCTTCAGGTTTTCCTGGCATGCACAAGTAATTTGCAACATGAGATTACTTCTTGAAGAAATGGAATATGTTTGTTTTGAACAACTGTGTTGGAATCCAAAACGAGTTCCTCAATTGTCACTCTCTCAAAACAATCAAGACCAAGAAGAAGCTCAAATTTGGAGCGCAAGCCCCCGTCCCTACAGATGTGCCAATACGGTTGCACAGTGAAAATCACGACTAGTAGTACAAAATAGGTAGGAATTTTAATACATGTGTAAATGGAGTGATGCCAGTTTACGTACTGCCCCCTGGGGGATTTGTGTAGAATTCCCTACCAGGATCATGTGGAAAAAAGAAGTGGGTTGCAAAAACGGGGTACTACAGTAGTTCTAGTAGTAAGAAAACTTCCGAATAAGAGTAAACTGGGAAGAGCAGAAGAGTTTCCTAAATATGTTGAACAACAMAGTATTTTTTTTGATGTGCTTACAATAATGATACACGGACTGTCGAAGGTAACGTAGACCTTCTTATGGGATGGATCCTTATCATGATAATTTCGTAATTATTCTTCTTAGATTTGAGACCGAAATGGTGSTACAGCAGCACTTCTTGTTGTGTGCATTTTCACCCCCATTCGTCTCGTGCTTCTTGCCTTTCACTTTGCCTACCATGCAATAAATTCGTTCACAATACCATGTGCAGCTCTTCCAGCTGTTGTGTTTCAAACACCAGCTTCCATTGCTTTGAATCTTAAACTTGAAGGGTGATTGAATCGGATGGCACTGCATCACTAAATTGAGATAACATCTGTGTACCTATACGCTACATTTCTTCTTCTTGAAAAACGATGATCTTCGTTTTAGAGCTTTTTTCTTGTTTGAGGCATTGGCTGTACTGGAATCAATCTTTGCTGCCGATTTCTCCGAGATTTGCCTCTTACCATCACCGTTGGACTTGCCTTTTCGATTCTTTTTTTTCGACTTGGTCACGAGGCTTTCCATTGYCTCTCTTATCGAACTGCGAACTTTGATTTCTCCTTCGGAGTCACCCTCAGTGATTCCGCTTGCGGAACTCAAGAAGCTTCCGGAGTATGAAGAGGTGAAATCTTGGTCTCGGTAGGAAGATTTCTTTCTGTTGTCGTCACAGTCGTAATCGAACGTGTCGTCTCGGCTCTCGAAAGCGGGAGATCCAGCTCGACGCCTTCCGGTTCTTCTTCCGGTTCTTCTTCCAGAACGCCTTTTTGTCCCATTTGGTTTGTATTCCAGCGCATCGACGTCGCCGGCAGCTTCCCCACTAACAATTTGTCCGCAGCTCATAATATTCATTGTGAGAGCAAGCGGACGCAAGATTATTTCACCAAGATCCCATTGTTCCTTTTCTTGTCGTTTGGCACCAATGGTTTTGTAGGTTTTTCTTTTTTCGTTAAGATGATCTCTCACATGAATTGTATCGGATTCTTCATCGGACTCTATGTCTACATCGGATTCGTCTTCGGACTCGGATCTGCCCCGAAGAGAAGCGTCCACAGAGGATTGAACGTTCGAATCCATGGTGCTGGTTTGACTTAATGAATTCGAGTCTGCATTGTTTACGGTGGAAGTTTCTCCATCTTCTTCCCTATCTAATCCCGAACTCTCATTGCTAGTTGGGGACAGTGCCCGTAACCTCTGTGTGAAATTCTGCATGGGACTACTACTTGAAAGACGAGATCCTCTATTTCTGATGCTCAGATCATACGGAGAGGCCTCTTGATTTGGTACAGCATCTCTTATCCCTTCCATTTGAGAATGCTCCCTGAAACTATAATTATTATTTCGGGATACCTGTGACTTGGGTGTTGGCATTTTAGGGGGGCGCCCAGAAGTGATGGAACGGCGCCCAGAAGTGATGGAACCTGATAGGACTGATGGCTCATCATGGCGTACGGTAATGATATTTTTCCCGTACAATTCGCCCGCAATACTACCTCCACCCGGATGCCCCGAAGTTGCAGACATAAGGGCCATCGATGCAACTACTTCGGCTTGTCGTTTGGCCTTTCGTTTTTTGCTTCCAAAGGCGCCTCCTAAACTGCTCACACCCAGTGTGCTTCGACCCGAAATTGAATCATTGTCTGATGCTTTGGGATTTAGCACCGATTCAGCAGCTGCCTTGGCTGTTTTCAAAGCTACATCCTCACTTCCTCCGTTCATGAGAATAGATCTCGCAGCGACAATTGCCGTCTGAGTGGCTTTCGATATTAACTCCGCCTCGGCTGCCTTCGAACTCGGCGGCAGACCATAGCTACCATTCGAAAACGAGCTGTTAGAACTAGGGCCAATCATGGTGAAAGGCTATCGTGATCTTAATTTGTTCTTATTCTTTTTTTGTCCGGAGCCTACAAGCGAGATACGCGAACGTACATAGATAATAGTCGTTTCGGATGGAAGGGAAAAGGATCCGCGTTTCTACATAAWCGTTCACAGTGAAATCTTGAAGAATAGTATCGCAAGATTCTAGCGACAGAATCGTAAGCGACAGAATCGTAATATTCAGCGATTGGTTCCGTCGGCGAGGGGACTTTGAAATCAATATTGTGAATAGTTTTGGGATAGTCGAAAAAGCGCACGAGGGAGATCATAAAAATATATACGTTTACGAATACTATTATTTGATTATTTGATTCGGGACCGTTCTCAATCACGAACGATAAGACAAGATGTAATTTGATTGGTGAATTCTTTATTTAGGTTTAGGTTTCCGGTACAGTACGTAAGAAAAGTTCCCATTCCACAAAGTGCCATGCCGTAAGGAAGTAGAAGAACTGTCATACCGGAGATTTAAATATATTCTTATTAAGTAGTATTGTTTATAGTGATGAGAGGGGTGTGATGGTGTCGAGAATATTGTTCGGTCGGTGTTTCTGCTATGCTCGACGAAATTACCACGAAGGCGCAAGAGAAAAAGATGAAAGGATAGAAAACGAGGATAGAAAACGTGTCGAAGTGCCCCTGGCTTGAAAAATAAGCACCATACATCTCRTTACTTTGATTTGCGCAAACTTACTTCAACTATTTGCAGTCGTAAAAAAAGACCTCGACCTGTCGCTCGGTAATTCTAATTCTGGGTTGGCTTGTTTGATCCCATGCAATGCAACCAACCGTCTCACTAGAACATTATAGTTAGTCTCGAAGAAAAGTACCGTCAGAATGACCAGTAATTCCCGATTGCTGGCCGAATTGAAGCCCTTCAATAAATATCCGAAAAACCCAGATAAGGCCGCACTCCAAGTGCTAGCCAGTGGGAGACGGCGGAGGTCAAAGCCAGTATTTTTTGTTGCCCAACCGACAAATGACGGAGCAGTGAAGACTAGAAGCAGGAAACAGCAAAGACAGCGACCACGATATAATGAAGAGGAGAATGCTTCAAATGATGAATCGTCCGAAGACAACAGAATGAATCGGGTGATCGATGTGGCTCATCGTTGTAACAAGAGAAAAAGAACAGGTACAACACGTAATGAAGTTCTATGTGCTCTGAAAAACAGATCAATTGATCAACTGAAAGCATACTATCAAGAGCGAAACAAATACAACTCTTCTCTATGTAATGGCAAACAGAAGCAAAGTGATCCGAAAGATCGGATTCATCGAAAAGAAAAAACGCAGCCGAGTCAGGATTGTGAAACTAACGACGATCCAGAATGCCATGAAATCAAGAGGGTAGTGAAAATTACCCACAGTTCCAATGTGAAACAAATTCGTCGGTCACTACGTGAAAGCGAAAGTAGATACTATAATGATGGAAGCGATACAATAAACACCGCAGATAATATCAACAATGATGACGATGATGTGATTAAAAAAGGCTACAAGATACGAAAGGCTTTTACCTTTTGGTACGACGGAGTAGTAGTCTCCAACAAACCAGAATGGAGATATTGCCACGAAGAGAACCAAAATCTCAAAATGTGGAAAGTGAGATTTCACGACAACGATGAGGAGGAACTGACACGGCAACAATTAGAAGAGTATCACGCCAACCTTCTGTCAACCAGAAAGACCCGTTTCCGTGTGGATACAGTTGCTGAGCCCGTCTACTCGAACTTAAGTTGTGCCTCAAAAACCWKAGACATGGATAGCTACAACAAAGCATTTGCTGATTTGTGCAATCGAGTTGGTTTTACTCAGGATGAAGTGAGGTGGGCTTTGGCTGAGGTTGGACTACCGTACTGTTTAAATGCTTCTGTAGAACGTATTATGGAAAGAAAGGATTCTACTGCGATGGAAAGATTCAAGAATTCCCAAAGAAGGGAGCTCCGGATGCTGGAATTTTTTGCTGGAAAAGCTGTAGTGTCCGAAGCTTTGCATAACTATGGCTCCTATTGGAGGACCCGTTCCATCGACAAGGATCCCAATTCTCGTGCGACCGACAAGATTGATTTTATGAAAGTCAGATGGAAAAATATCGGGAAACTTCCCGATTTCATTTGGATTACTCTGCCGTGTTTTACCCACTCATTTCTGGCGAGAGGGGATAATCGTTCTACGAAAGAAAATTGGTTTGCCAAGGCCCCCGAGGCACTCTGGCAGGATCGGTTCTTGGCACGAATGTCGTGGTTTCTWGAGTGGGTCAAAAAGAAGAACGACCACGTGATTTTTGTCATAGAAAATCCTACGGGGTGGATGGGCGAGATGGCAATGATCAAAACGATTGTTGGAAAAATGGAGATGCGCCGGACAACGGTCGATTATTGTGTGTCCGGTGGATCCGATAAGGTATCAACGAATCTGTGGACAAACGTAAGTTCCTGTGGTTACGCAACATCTTATGTTTTAAATGTAGAACGTGAGCCAGTTTTACAGTGGGGCCACGATGCGATGGACTTTATTGCACAGAGCTCTTCGCCTAGCTTTCTGACCACTCGTCTTGTTTCTGGCGGTGCCATGCCGTAATGCTCTGCAATGTAACGCACAGGACTCGAAACTGCACGCGGCGCTCAGCATGTTCTCCAAGAGCTCCCCTGAATCATGTTCGCACCATGGGAGACCCTACCCCCATCATCCTAGGTACAAACCGGCCGAGATCTCGAGGGATCTGGCCGAAACCGTTGCTGAGAGCGTCAGCGCAAGGTTCGGCGTCAACGACCTGAAAGTCTGCTACAAGGCCGAACCGGAGGTGTCGACGGAGGAGATAACCTTCTTCAACAAAATGATGGGAGGTGCCGACTAGATGGTTGGTTATTGTTGCATTGATTTTGCCTTTTAGTATTGCTTTCACGCGAACCCTGCCGGTATATGCCTCTGGGAGCAAATGAAACGCACATTTCAGGGACATGCCGACGCGACAAATCGGCACGGTGTCCGCACACATCCAATCAATTCTTTGTTCATACGCAAACGAGCACCCACACACTGCGTGCCGTTCCCCTCGAGGATATCGAATCTACCTGCCCCCCGGGGCCTCGATGCGTTCACACCGCACCACCTGTCTCACCCTAATATCTTTGGCAAACTACTGTGTGGAGCTACCCTCTGCTCGGACGTCTTGCCACTATGATCGCAATTGTGTTTCGTGTTGTAAAACTAYWCATAACTTAGAATTCGGAGATTATTGTTTCAAAAAGCATTCGTTGCGGTTATCGCAACAAAATCTGCCTCCCTGCTATTGGCGAACGAACGAACGAACGAACGGGTTCTGCCCGCTACGGCGTTTACGTTTTAGTCTTCCTTCTTTGTGCTGCCGCCGTCGTCGCCGTCGCTCACTTCCACCGTAAAGGTGCAGAGGCTCCCGATGGCGTCCTCGTCCTGGAGCCGGTCGACCAGAGCGTCCCCCGCGATCATCGAGGGGGATCCGATCGTCCCCTTTGGCAGTCGTCCCGCGTCGTCCAGCTCCAGCATCGAAAAGGCGGTCTCRACCGCAAACAGCGCCGTGCACCTTATACCGGCGTCGCCCTTGACGTGGAGGTAGACCGTGGCCTTCGAGCCGGAGYAAGCACTGGTGGCGTAGGTCCAAAAGCTGCAGGTCGACTCGTCGAGGTGCTTCTGGTTTCTCTGGGTGTTTCCGCGATAGTTGAGTGAATCAAATACCATCAGCAACAGCGCGGACGTCGAGGGAACCAGGGCGACAAAGACCTGAAAGAACAAACCAAACGGAGCCGTCGCGAGGAGAAAAGAATAAACGACCAGGGTTTGCAGCAGGCCATACCCCGTCGCCATGCAGCCCTTGCTGTAGGGTATAGCGAAGCGGTCGTGATAGGCGCAGTCGATGCAGGACGAYGAGCTGTTGTAAGCGACGGGAATGTTGCACCAGCCCATGAAATGCGGAAGGGTAAAGGCCCCATAGTCGGGGGACCACCGGGGCAGGAGCCACCGGATCATCGCTACCGCGGTGTTCTTGTGCACCCCGCCGCCGGGAGAGGCAAACCGAAGCAGGCCGTTGCAGAAGCTTCTTCCATCGTGAAGCTTGGAGATCATGGTGCGGAGGGTCCCCCTCGGAAAGGCGCCCCCTTCGAGCAGCACTATGGTTTCGGCGCTGGAGAGGGAGGCCTCGGCGGCGGTGTCGCCCCTTGGTTCCGTTCCGCCCGGGTGGTCGATCGCGTCGCACTCGGCCAGCGCCCTGCGGGCCGCGTACAGGGACAGGTCGGAAGGAACCGAGTCGTAGCCGGCAAAGGAGCAGAGGGTGGCCCCCGTCTCCCCCGCCGTTTTGGCGTGGAGCGTCCGCATGTTCCCTACCCAGTCGACCTCCCCCGTGATGTCGGCGTAGTGCGTTCCGTGCTGCACGCAGGCCCCGTAGAGGGCGGCCCCCAGCGCCGTGTAGGGACCCGCGGCCGACAARACGAGCCTGGCCGATCTGGCCAGGTCGCCGAGCTCGGAAGGGGATCCGGCGTCCGCGACGAGGACGCCGATTTCGTCCCCGCGGAGGGGGGCCTTCGAGCGTCCCACGATGATCCCCGACCGGAGCCGGTTCAGCTTCGCTTCCGAGCGGCCGGCAATCGCCCASCGAAASACGGACGGYGGGGCTGGTGCGTCGCTCCCGCTCTCGCTCTGCCCGCGGTGGCGGTTTGGATCGTAGCTGTCGATGTGGTTGCTCACGTACGTCGCGATGGCCATTCCGGCGTCGCCGGTTGCCCCGTAGATCACGAGGTCCCACTCGCGCTGCGTCGGCGACTCGTGTGTGCTCATTCTAGAATAGTTGCCGTGCCGGTACAACGGAGATCGCGATCAATCGTATTCTGTGTTCTGGATCTGGYCTCCTTTGGCTCATCGAAGATTGTTGTGGGAGATGGTTCTTTTTGWTTTGTTTTTCTGAAAAACAGATTGGAATTTTGTTTACCGTTACGAGAAACATACCGTACGGTACGATAGTCCGAAACGAAAGAACCCCACGGTACGCACGGTATCTGCGTACTTTGTYTACTGCCAGTACCATTCTACGTAATACTGTACTGTATTACGGCTGTTATGTACGGTATGATCATTTCGCGTAATTGAACGCGTCCATTGGTACCGTATGGTACGTACCGGCCGGTACCTACCATACGAGTACCRTACMKKAMMWG